ATAAATAGATAAATAAATATAAGCATATGAAGTGATAGATCTGTTAATGAAGTCATTGGGGGAAATCCTTTCACAATGTATACACATATCAATTCATCACCTTGTACACTTGACATAGCTTACAATTTATTTGTCAATTATACCTCAGTGAAGCAGAGGGGAAAATATTTATATTGAGGTAGGTAAAAATTAAATGCCTAAAAGTAAATTGGATTCATCTTTTTCCTCATTGACAGGAAAATTTGGATCAAAGATTCTTCCTTTTTATAAATTCTGTAGGTAAATAACAGGGCAATTTCTTTGGAATTACCCTAAGACTTAATGATAATATAATAAATATCAGGATGACTTCTAAAAAACAGGAGGTTTTGTCTAAAAACCAAAATTAAACAAACAAACAAAAAATCCCAGGGCGCCTGGTTGGCTCAGTCTTTAGGTGTCCGCCTTCAGCTCAGGTCATGATCCCGGGGTCCTGAGATTGAGCCCCGCATCGGGCTCCCTGCTCAGCAGGGAGCCCACTTCTCCCTCTCCCACTCCCCCTGCTTGTATTCCCTCTCTCACTGTCTCTCTCTCTGTCAAACAAATAAAATCTTTAAAAGAAAAAATTCCCAAAAACTTGAATCTCCTCATCAGCAGAAGTGGTCACAGGCAGAAGTGATGAAAATAAAAATAGGATATCCCTCATATCTCTTTTAGCTATATAATTCTACAGTAATTCTCATATAATCATGAACAACCTTTTTTTCTGATTCTTTATTCCAAGAACTTTTGATACTTACAGTGAATGACTTGAAGAAGTATCTTTTTTAGTGACAACATTGGCTTTAATTAAAAATGTATGACAGAAAATCCATCATTTTAGTAATGTACTTACTTTGTGTCTATTAAGGATAGCCTTTGCTCCCAATAAAGTTATGTAGACACAGTTGTTCTCTAGTCATTATAACATGATTTTCTTAATGAGATGGTTTTACTTTCACTTCAAAATGAAATAAAATGTATTTTATTGTATTCTCCCTGGGTCTATTGAAATTATGAAAAGCATAATGCTTATTAATGACAAGTGAAGAAAGCAACGGCTGATATTGTCTTGTCCTTCCTGCCTGCCTCTGAAAATGATAATTACAATTTTAATTTGAACACTAGGCATATTTTTAAAAATGTTTACCATGTGATACTTCTAGGTTGTACTATACACTTATTTATTATGAATCATACAGGCACTATAGTTTGAATTAAATTTTTCAATCATAAAAACATTTATAGTACTACTATTGATTTAAACATTAAGAGTTTCAAGATGCAGTCTTTCCCAGTTATTGATATTTATGGTATACACTTTCATAAGTTTAATGACCACCATTGCAGAGAAGATTACTGCTAATACAAGCTTTAAAAGGGTCTGGCTATTTTCTCATAAGCAAATGCTATGCTAACCAAGCTCAGCAGTGTTATCTATTTTCATAGGATTTTTCTAAATCAAAGATCACATTTTATTGAATGGTGAAAATATATTATGTACTGACAAAATCAGTAGAATTAATTAGCTAAAATTCACATTTTTATTTATATACAGTACCACTTATCTTAAAATGCATTATATTTCATTGAAAAAAATGGTTACCCATAACAAAGTTGCAGTGAAAGAAAACTTAAAAGCCTTAATTTAGGCATAGAAGTATGGCCTTAACCTTCAGACTAATGTTCTGAAAATTTTATGTAATTTTATATTTCTTTCTAACTTCTTTATAATTCCTCAAAGAATTCTTATTGTATATGTATTTGCTTAGAATGTTTTGTTAATAGCGTCTTTTCAATATGGTTTTAAAAACTTCTTACAAAAGGTAGTCTATAAATACATTACGTGAATTGTAAATCATATATTTAGTAAAATATTCACCAGCTGATGAAGTTTTCAGTTATTTGTATAATTTTAGCCAATAGTGGAAATAGACCACTTCATTAACTTTCCTTTTTGTTTTTCTTTTCATTATTCTTAAATTGCCCTAATGCATTTTATTCACCTCTGGTCCTGTGTTCCATATCCACCTCTGTGAATTCTGAATCCCAGATTACTAAGAGATGCTTGGTTTTGCCTCATGTCCTGGATGGATCAGAGTAATGATTAATTGTGGAAATAATATTTTCTGGTGATAGTCTTTATTAAAAATTCTTCAGGAGCTGATGGGTAAATGGCAGAATAGGAGGACACTAAGCTTACCTGGTCCCACTGATACAACTAGATAACACATCAGTGTAAATAACCCAAAAAATGACCCAAAGAGTGGCAAAACAAACTCTACCACTAAAGGTAGAGAAGAGGCTACATCAAAGAAAGTATGAAGGTGGAGACTCAGTTTGGGAGTGAAATGGACCATAGCCATCTGGAGTGGGGAGGGAGCCAGTGGTGCAGAGAAGGAAGAGAAACAGACTATCACACTGAGGAGCCTGCACAGGGTAGACAAATTCCCATAACATTTGACTTTGAAAGCAAGAGGGGCTGAATTTTGAGAGTTCTTATAACCAGCATGACTTAAAGCTTGGAATTTTAAAATTCAGTAGCTACGCTCTGGTAGAGCCTCAAGGATGTCAGGAAATCAAGTCCTTACCCCTAAAGAGATAGCAGGACAAACAGCCAGTGGAGATATGGCATGGAAGCAGCAATCTGAAAAATGCCCTGGGCAGAAGGGAGGGAGATTACTGACTCATTGCAGAGCTGACCCTGAGAGGCAAGAATCACCAGAAGACTGCCCCAAGAACAAAGGAGCTGGTTGATGCCATTTTCCTTGCCTCACCCCCTTCCCCCACCAACATAAACACAGGACCACATGCAGAAACCAGCACAGGGCTGAGACTTACTACCTAATTTGCTTACACCAAACCCAACACTACCAAAGATCCACCTCTGCCAGTTATACTTGCCTCAGTCCTAGCTCCTTGATCTCCTCCCCTAGAAGACCAGCACAAAACCCCACCAACACTTCATCTCCTGACCTGTGCATTTTGCAGTCCTCAGTTCTGCCAGCAGACTAGCATACCCCTTATTAAAATGTGCCCCACCCAGACAGGGACCAAACACAGCCTAGGCAAAGGGAGTTTCTGTAGACAACTGAAGGAAAAAGAGGCCAGCTCAACCCAGAGTACATGCAACACACATGGGAGATATGCCCTGAAGCGCCAGGCCCTGGGGAACAGGAGGCACTTCACTGCAGGCAGGGCACTATAGGGCCTTTTCTTCATAAGGCCCTTACCTTCAAAAGCAAGAGATGTAGCTGGCTTTCCTAACACACAGAAACAAACAGAGTTAGAGAAAAGGAGGAGCAGAGTAATATCTCCCACATGAAAGAACAGCGCCAAAGCACAGCAAAAGACCTAAGCAAAACAGATATAAGCAATATACCTGATAGATTTAGAATAATGATCATAAAGACACTCATTGCACTTAAGAGTCAAGGACATCAGTAAGACCCTTAACAAAGAAACAAAAAAGCACTGATCAGAGATGAAGAATACAATAAATGAAATTGAAAATACATTAGATAGAATAAATAGACTAGAGAAAGCAGACAAATGAATTATTGAACTGGAAAAGTATTGGAAATTAATCAAGGTGAACAAATGGGAGGAAAAAATATGCATATTGAGAATAGTCTTAGGGAACTCAGTGATTCCATCAAGCATAACATTCACCTTATAGGGACTCATAGGAAGAAGAGGGGAAAAAAAGGGAGCAGAAAGTATATTTGAAGAGAGAATAGCAGAAAATTTCCTTAATCTAGAGAAGAAACAGATATCCAGATCCAGGAGGCACAGAGATGCCCCCCCCAAAATTCAAGCCAAAGAGGTCCACACCAAGATACATAGAATGAAAATGGCAAAAAATAATGATAAAGAAAAAAACTTCAAAGGAGCAAGAGAAAAGAAGATAGTTACATACAAGGGAAACCCCAAAGGGCTATAGCAGATCTTTTGGCAGAAACTTTCAAACACAGAAGGGAATAGCATCCTATATTCAAAGTGCTGAATGGGAAAAATCTGCAGGCAAGAATACTCTATCCAGCGAGGCTGTCATTCAAAATACAAGGAGATAAAGAATTTCCCAAAGAAAAGTTAAAAGAGTTCATACTACTAAATCAGCCCTTTAAGAAATATTAAAGGGAACTCTTTGAGTGGCAAGACCATAGTGATAGCATGAAAAGCAAATCACACAGTAAAAATAAGAATGTCTATAAAAATCAAGGGATTCATAAAATTAAAGGATGTAAAATATGACACCATTTACCAAAAACGTCAGGGGAGAGGGGAAATGAATAAGTTCAAATTTAAGCGACCATCAACTTAATATATATGGCCATATGCAAAAGATGTTATATACAAACCTAATGTTCACTGCAAGTTCAAAAAAAACAGTAATAGATATGTACAGAATAAAGAGAAAGGAATCCAAGTATATCACTAAAGAAAGTCAACACCATGGAAAAGAACAAGAGAAGGATGAGAAAAGAAATACAAAACAAGTAACAAAATGACAATAAATACATATCTATCAATAATTACTTCGAATTCAAATCAATTAAATGCTCCAATCAAAAGACATAGGAAAACAGTGGATAAAAACAAAAACAAAAACAAAACCCACAATACTCATGTGTATGCTCCCTGTAAGAGACTCATTTCAGACCAGAAGACACTTACAGATTGAAAGTGAGGAGATGAAGAAACATTTGTCATGCAAATGGATGTCATAAGACCAGAGAAGAAATATGTATATTGGACAGAATAGACTTTAACACAAAGACTGAAATGAGACAAAGAAGGATAAGATACAACAAGGTATCTTTATTTTCTTGTTGGATTGTCCAACAAGAAAATATACCAATTGCACATATTCATGCACCCAACATGGGAGCACCCAAATACATAAAAGAGTTAATAACAAACATAAATTTACTAATCAATAGCAATACAATAATAGTAGGGGACATTAACACCCCACTTACATCAATGGGTAGATCATCCAAACAGAAAATCAACAAAAGGAAAGTGTAGCTTTGAATGACACACTGGACCACATGGCTCCAACACCAATCTCTTCAGAACATCCCAACCTAAAACAACAGAATACACATTCTTTTCAAGTGCACATGGAACAGTCTCCAGAATAGATCACATATTAGGTCACAAAACAAGCCTCGACAAGTTCAAAGGGTTAGTGTCACACCATGTACCTTTTCTGACCACAAAGCTATGAAACTAAAAATCAACCATAAGAAAAAATCTGGAAAGAGCACAAATACATGGAGGTTAAATAACATGCTCTTAAACAGTGAACGGGTCAAGCAAGAAATCAAAGAAGAAATAAAAAATTACATGGAAACAAATGAAAATGAAAACACATAGGTACAAAATCTCTGGGATGCAGCAAAAGCAGTTCTGAGAGGGAAGTTTAGAGCAAAACAGGCCTACCACAAGAAGCAACAAAAATCTCAAATAAATAACCTAACCATACACCTAAAGGAGCTAGAAAAAGAACAAATAAAACCCCAAACCAGCAGAAGGAAAGAAATAATAAAGATTAGAGCAGAAATAAATGATGTAGAAACTAAAACAAAATGAAACAAAAACAATGGAATAGATCAATGAAACCTGGAGCGAGTTCTTTGAAAAAGTCAAGGAAATTGGTAAACCTCTAGCCAGACTCATCAGGAGGAGAAGAAAAAGGACCCAAATAGACAAAATCATAAAAGAAATGGGAGAAATAACAACCAACACCACAGAAATGCAAGCAAATGTAAGATAATATTATGAAAACATTATGCCAACAAATTGGACAACCTCGAGGAAATGGATAATTTCTGAGACATACGAACCTCTCAAAACTGAATCAGAAAGAAACAGAAAATTTGAATAGACTGATTACCAGAAATGAAAGTGAATCAGTAATCAAAAAATTCCTAACAAACAGAAGTTCAGGAACAGGCCCCTTCACAGGCAAATTTTACCAAACATTGAAAGAATAGTTAGTATCTAGTCTTCTCAAACAATTCCCAAAAAATAGAAGAGGAAGGAGAACTTCCAAATTCATTCTGTGAGGCCAGTATCATTCTGATTCCAAAACCAGATAAAGAGACTACAAAAAAAGAGAACAGGCCAATATTTCTGATGACCATAGATTGAAAAATCCTCAACAAAATACTAGCAAACAGAATCCAATAATATATTTAAAAAGTTATTCACCATGATCAAGTGGGATTTATTTCCAGGGTGCAAGAATGGTTCCTATCATTTAATATGATACATCACATGAGCAAGAGTAAGAATAAAAGACACACGGTCATTTCAATAGATGCAAAAGAAGCATTTGAGAAAGTAGGTCTGGAGGGAACATACCTCAACATATTAAAGGCCTTATGTGAAAAACCTACAGCAAAAATCATACTCAGTGGGGAAAAACTTAGAGCTTTTCCCCTAAGGTTAGGAATAAGACAAGGTTGTCCACTCTCAATATTTTTATTCAACAAAGTACTGGAAGTCCTGGCCACAGCTGTTAGACAACATAAATGAATACAAGGCATCCAAATTGGTAAGGGATAAGAAAAACTCCCACTATTTGCAGGTGACATGGTACTATATGTAAAAAAAACCCTTAAGACTCCACCAAAAAACTACTAAAACTGATAAATTAATTCAGTAAAATTGCAGGATACAAAATCAATGGACAGAAATCTGTTGAATTCCTGTACACTAATCATGAAGCATCAGAACATGAAATTAAGAGGAGTGCCTGGATGGCTCTGTTGGTAGAGCATGTGACTCTCAATCTCTCAGGGATGTGAGTTCGAGCCTCAAGTTGTGTATAGAGATTGCTTAATATAAAAAATCTTTAGGAAAAAGTAAAATTCAGAGAACAATCCCATTTGCAATTGTACCACAATTAGTAAAGTACCTAGGAATAAATTTAACCAACGCTGTGAAAGACTTGCACTTGAACACTATAAAACACTCATGAAAGTAATTGAAGACTACACAAACAAATGGAAAGACATTCCATGTTCATTGATTGGCAGTATAAATGTTATTAAAATGTCCATACTACCCAAAGCAATCTACAGATTGAATATAATCCCATCAAAATACAAACAGCATTTTTCACCGAACTAGAACAAGCAATCCTAAAATTTGCTTGGAACCACAATAGAACTTGCATAGCCAAAACAATCTTGAAAAACAAAGCTGGAGGCATCACAATTCCAGATTTCAAGTTATATTACAAAGCTGTAGCAATCAAAACAGTATGGTACTCACACAAAAATAGACACATAGATCAATGAAATAGACAGAAAACCCAGAAATAAAACCACAATTATATGGTCAATTAATATTCAACAAAGGAGGTATGAATATACAGTGGGGAAAAGACAGTCTCTTCAACAAATGGTGTCGGGAAAAGTGGACAGCCAAATGCAAAAGAATGAAACTGGACCACTTTCTTAGGCCATACACAAAAATAAACTCAAAATGGATTAAAGACCTCAAATGAGACCTGAAATCGTAAAAATCCTAGAAGAGAGCATAGGCAGTAATCTCTCTGACATAGGCCATCAAACATTTCTCTAGATATGTCTCTTGAGGCAAGGGAAATAAATGCAAAAAAATAAACTATTCAGATTACATCAAAATAAAAAGCTTCTGAACTGCACAGGAAACAACCAATAAAACTAAAAGACACCCTAATGAGTGGGAGAAGATATTTGCAGATGACATATGTGATAAAGGGTTGGTATCTAAAATATGTAAAGTACTTACAGAACTCAACACCAAAAAACAAAAACTCAAAACAATGGTCAGAAGACATGAACAGACATTTCTCTAAAGAAGACATACAGATGGCTAACACACTTGTGAAAAGATGCTCAACCTCACTCATCATCAGGGAAATGTAAATCAAAAGCACATTGTGCTATTACCTCACACCTGTCAGAATGGCTAAAATCAAAACACAAGAAACAACAAATGTTGGAGAGGATGTGGAGAAAAAGGAATCCTCTTGGACTGTTGGTGGGAATGCAAACTGGTACAGCCACTGCAGAAAACAATGTGAAATTTCCTCAAAATGTTAAAAATAGAACTACCCTATGATCCGGTAATTGCACTATGGAGTATTTACCTAAACAATGCACAAACACTAAGTCAGAGGGATACATTCATGGCTATTTTTATTGCAGCATTATTTATAATAGCCAAACTATGGCAACAGTCCATATGTCCACTGATAGATGAATGGATAAAGAAGTAGTGGTATATATACACAATGGAATATTATGCAGCCATCAAAAGGAATGAGATCTTGCCATTTGCAACAACATGGATGGAACTGGAGGGTGTTAATGCTGAGTGAAATAAGTCAATCAGAGAAAAACATGTATCATATGACCTCACTGATATGAGGAATTCTTAATCCCAGGAAACAAACTGAGGGTTGCTGGAGTGGTGGGGGGGTGGGAGGGATGGGGTGGCTGGATGATAGGCATTGGGGAGGGTATGTGCTTTGGCGAGTTCTGTGAATTGTGCAGGACTGTTGAATCACAGATCTGTACCTCTGAAGCAAATAATGCAATATATGTTAAGAAAAAAAAAAAGAAGAAGATAGCAGGAGGGGAAAAATGAAGGGGGGGAAATCAGAGGGGGACACCAACCATGAGAGACGATGGACTCTGAAAAACAAACTGGGGGTTCTAGAGGGGAGGCGGGTGGGGGCTTGGGTTAGCCTGGTGTTGGGTATTAAAGAGGGCACGTTCTGCCTGGAGCACAAACAATGAATCATGGAACACTACATCCAAAACTAATGATGTAATGTATGGTGATTAACATAACAATAAAAAAATTTAAAAAAAGAAGTAGTGGTATATATATTTAATGGAGTATTATTCAGCTATAAAACAGAATGAAATCTTGCCATTCAGAACAGTATACACAGATCTAGACAGTATAATGTTAAGTGAAATATGTTAGAGAAATACAAATAGCGTATGATCTCACTCATATGTGGAATTTAAAAAAAAATGAGCAAAGGAAAAAAGAGAGAGACACACACAAAACAAGAAACAGACTCTTAACTATAGAGAACAAACTGATGGCTTCCAGAGGGGAGGTGGGTTGGGGGATGGGTGAAAAAGTGATGGGGATTAAAGAATATACTTATTAAAAAGAAAAGTACACTTATCTTGATGAGCACTGAGTAATTTATAGATTTATTGAATCACTATATTGTACACCTGGAATTAATACAATGCTATCTGTTAATTGTATTGGAATTTAAAAATAAATAAATAGATAGATAAATAAATAAATAATTTTAAATATCTTCATATTGAAGTTTCTCATTTCTGAACACATCCATTAGTAGGTGTTGACTGTCATGAATCCCACAGATGTAAACATAAATTTTTTAAAGATTTATTTATTTATTTATTTATTTGAGAGAGAGAGCACAAGCAGGGGGAAGCAGCAGAGGGAGAGGGAGAAGCAGACTCCCCACTGAGCAGGGAGCCTGATGTGGGACTCGATCCCAGGACCCTGAGATCATGACCTGAGCCGAAGGCAGATGCTTAACTGACTGAGCAACCCTGGTGCCCTAAACATAAATTTTTTAAAGTTGAGATTATTTTAGTTAAGGATTTGTGAATTATAGGGATGGAATGATTAGTTACAGAAGTGGCTTCCTTAGAAATTAATTCACATCTATGTAAATCGAGGTCTTCTGAAAACTTATTACCAGATTTTATCATCACCTGAAAATTTCTTGGATTTTATCAATTTTCCCAGATGTATACCCCTGAACAGTTTTACATTTCAGAGTTTGAGGAAGGATGTTTGTATCCCTTCTGTTTCACGCTGTTCTATTTTTGCTCTCACCTGAAATGTCCTTTGAAAATATATGAATTAACTTATTTAACGATGTGTCCTAATATGGTGTCTGAAATTAATTCACTAATCCACAAATTAAAATAAGGCCTAGATATACCAGATGTTACGGTAGAGTTCTGTTTTCATTTTTTTTTCAAAGATTTTACTTATTTATTTGACAGGGAAAGTGAAAGAGCACAAG